CAGACTCGGGCTCCAAACGAATCTCTACTGGGCTCCAAACAAATCTCTACTGCGCAGACTCGGGCTCAAAACAAATCTCTACTGGGCTCCAAACTAATCCCTACTGCGCAGACTCGGGCTCCAAACGAATCTCTACCGCGCAGACTCGGGCTCCAAACGAATCTCTACCGCGCAGACTCGGGCTTCAAACGAATCTCTACTGGGCAGACTCGGGCTCCAAACGAATCTCTACTGCGCAGACTCGGGCTCCAAACGAATCTCTACTGCGCAGACTCGGGCTCCAAACGAATCTCTACTGCGCAGACTCGGGCTCCAAACGAATCTCTACTGCGCAGACTCGGGCTCCAAACGAATCTCTACTGCGCAGACTCGGGCTCCAAACGAATCTCTACTGCGCAGACTCGGGCTCCAAACGAATCTCTACTGCGCAGACTCGGGCTCCAAACGAATCTCTACTGCGCAGACTCGGGCTCCAAACGAATCTCTACTGCGCAGACTCTGGCTCCAAACGAATCTCTACTGCGCAGACTGGGGCTCCAAACGAATCTCTACTGCGCAGACTTGGGCTCCAAACGAATCTCTACTGCGCAGAGTCTGGCTCCAAACGAATCTCTGCTCCAAACGAATCTTTACTGCGCAGACTCTGGCTCCAAACGAATCTCTACTGCGCAGACTCTGGCTCTAAATGAATCTCTGCTCCAAACGAATCTTTACTGCGCAGACTCTGGCTCCAAACGAATCTCTACTGCGCAGACTCGGGCTCCAAACGAATCTCTACAATAAAATCATTTGTTTTCACAGTTTGAAATTCTTTGCAGTCATTGGCTGTTAACTCTTAAAGAGATAAGACACTCAAACCTTAAATGGCCCATTTTACCTGATGGTCCAATTTGCCTGATATCACCCTACCATTATAGGACTAAACATGCAATGGTTTTAAAAGCCTCATTTACTGACTTTTGCAGTATGATACGCGCTCACTGATTCGAAACAAATGATTCGCAAAGGTTTAGAAGCTTCACGAAGCAGTGTTTCAAAAGCGCACATGGCACATCACTGGTAGTAGCCTAGGTAAAGTACTGAAAATCTTTCAGACCACATGGCAAGTGGACGTTTTAGAGGACCAGGTGCAGATCTTCACCAGTCGCTCACAAGTCTGTGTCCAGAGTTTGACACAACCGTAAGATTTTTTTTTCTCTGAAATAGTTTTTGGGGTTCAAGCGACTTTTTTCTTAAGATAGCTGAACAACATGCTTACCAAAACAAACCATTGTTTGATGTAACGAAATAGTTTTTTTAATTCTTGAATACATTTAGTTACTCAATTCGTAGAGTTTGCGAAGCGCAGAACCAATTTTTCTAGTTTGTAGGTGATTATCGCTTTCGCACTGGAGGAAACTTTCAGGGTATATATTGTGAGATATGAATGGCCAGTTCAAGTTGAATTCTTGTTGTGAACACTAGAGAGTGCTAGTCTAACAGCGTAACCCGGGTGTGTCTCACACGTCCTGAAAAGTGAAGCTGCGGGCTCTTTGATCCCCCCCTGGTGGCTGGCTGCAGTACAGGTCATAAACCCCTCCCTCTCCATGTAAACTAATGGGACTTGAGTCAAAATAAAAAAATAAATTACACTTCCAATACAATTTTCCGACAGATGTTTTTTGTCATTTAAGGTAGTTGTTATCACGCTGATATATGTTAAATTGGTCGTTTTTGTGATAAGTTTGATTTTAGCTAGTAATTTGATGCTATAAAAACGGGACGTGTCGTTATGGTTGATTGGGTCTGCGGGAGTTTGATACCACGGCTCCACCTCACAACACTACTGCGCAGACTCTGAATCCAAACGAATCTCTACTGCGCAGACTCGGGCTCCAAACGAATCTCTACTGCGCAGCCTCGGGCTCCAAAGGAATCTCTACTGGAATCCAAACGAATCTCTACTGCGCAGACTCGGGCTCCAAAGGAATCTCTACTGCGCTCCAAACGAATCTCTACTGCGCAGACTCGGGCTCCAAAGGAATCTCTACTGCGCTCCAAACGAATCTCTACTGCGCAGACTCGGGCTCCAAAGGAATCTCTACTGCGCTCCAAACGAATCTCTACTGCGCAGACTCGGGCTCCAAAGGAATCTCTACTGCGCTCCAAACGAATCTCTACTGCGCAGACTCGGGCTCCAAAGGAATCTCTACTGCGCTCCAAACGAATCTCTACTGCGCAGACTCGGGCTCCAAAGGAATCTCTACTGCGCTCCAAACGAATCTCTACTGCGCAGACTCGGGCTCCAAAGGAATCTCTACTGCGCTCCAAACGAATCTCTACTGCGCAGACTCGGGCTCCAAAGGAATCTCTACTGCGCTCCAAACGAATCTCTACTGCGCAGACTCGGGCTCCAAAGGAATCTCTACTGCGCTCCAAACGAATCTCTACTGCGCAGACTCGGGCTCCAAAGGAATCTCTACTGCGCTCCAAACGAATCTCTACTGCGCAGACTCGGGCTCCAAAGGAATCTCTACTGCGCTCCAAACGAATCTCTACTGCGCAGACTCGGGCTCCAAAGGAATCTCTACTGCGCTCCAAACGAATCTCTACTGCGCAGACTCGGGCTCCAAAGGAATCTCTACTGCGCTCCAAACGAATCTCTACTGCGCAGACTCGGGCTCCAAAGGAATCTCTACTGCGCTCCAAACGAATCTCTACTGCGCAGACTCGGGCTCCAAAGGAATCTCTACTGCGCTCCAAACGAATCTCTACTGCGCAGACTCGGGCTCCAAAGGAATCTCTACTGCGCTCCAAACGAATCTCTACTGCGCAGACTCGGGCTCCAAAGGAATCTCTACTGCGCTCCAAACGAATCTCTACTGCGCAGACTCGGGCTCCAAAGGAATCTCTACTGCGCTCCAAACGAATCTCTACTGCGCAGACTCGGGCTCCAAAGGAATCTCTACTGCGCTCCAAACGAATCTCTACTGCGCAGACTCGGGCTCCAAAGGAATCTCTACTGCGCTCCAAACGAATCTCTACTGCGCAGACTCGGGCTCCAAAGGAATCTCTACTGCGCTCCAAACGAATCTCTACTGCGCAGACTCGGGCTCCAAAGGAATCTCTACTGCGCTCCAAACGAATCTCTACTGCGCAGACTCGGGCTCCAAAGGAATCTCTACTGCGCTCCAAACGAATCTCTACTGCGCAGACTCGGGCTCCAAAGGAATCTCTACTGCGCTCCAAACGAATCTCTACTGCGCAGACTCGGGCTCCAAAGGAATCTCTACTGCGCTCCAAACGAATCTCTACTGCGCAGACTCGGGCTCCAAAGGAATCTCTACTGCGCTCCAAACGAATCTCTACTGCGCAGACTCGGGCTCCAAAGGAATCTCTACTGCGCTCCAAACGAATCTCTACTGCGCAGACTCGGGCTCCAAAGGAATCTCTACTGCGCTCCAAACGAATCTCTACTGCGCAGACTCGGGCTCCAAAGGAATCTCTACTGCGCTCCAAACGAATCTCTACTGCGCAGACTCGGGCTCCAAAGGAATCTCTACTGCGCTCCAAACGAATCTCTACTGCGCAGACTCGGGCTCCAAACGAATCTCTACTGTGCAGACTCGGGCTCCAAATGATGTAATTTAATCAAAATAGCAGCGGCCATACTGAGATGCTTTGGCTTGACTTTTCTATAGTGGAAGGGAGTAGAGACGCGTCATCCATCTTACATTTTTACAGTCTATGATTCAGACGCAGAACGTCTTCACGAGGACATCAAACAGGAACCTTTTCAGACACGCACTCTTCACCTCAGCGCCAGGCACGAGTCAAACGAGCGTGGAAACGGTACCAGTGACGAGGAGCTTCAGTAGAACAACAGTGAACTGCGGTCAGATGAGATGTCAGGACATATGTCAGTAAAAACAAATCTTCTAGTCCTGTCAGTCATTATACTGTGCTCATAGAGCGTGCTCTTCAAATGCACGCACAAATGTGGCGGCGCACGCTGTATTAGGCTATATTAAAGCGCTGTATCATATTCAAACTGTATTGAAGCTACGAGTATACAATGTCATAATTATGTCGTCAGTTAAGTCACGAAGTTACAAAAAAGGCAATTAAAGCTTGCCTTAAAACTGTGCATGCAAGTAGTTATTATTTATGAGTCACGTTTTAAAGCAGTATCAGATCTGTGCCGTATCAGTCAAGTTCAACAGCGGCAGCTCTTAAAGTAGCAGCAAAAATATCCTAATAACCAGCTGCTGTGACATCTGTTAATCAAAGAACAAAATAAAAAGGAGGAAATCAATAACTTCTGTAGTTGTAAGTTTTATCTCAATTTAATTTAGAATTTAGTGTTAAAAGTGATTTTTTAAAGTCGAATAAATGTTAAATTGATAGCTGTAATGTTATACTGTATACTGTACTTATACTGTAATGTTGAATGGATAGTCAATGGTTAAATATTAAAAAAATATTATAGAGACATCACAGCTGGTTTCAGTGATACTTGCCTTCAGTCATAAAAAAGGCAAATATTATATTAATAAATATTAATAAAATTAAACAAATATTAAAAATATACATTGTTGTTTTTCCATTAATTTGAAGATTGAATGTGAAATTATTAAAATTTAAAAGTATAATTAACAACTGTAACGTTAGGTGGGATTAATCACGATTAACTGCAATTAATTTCAGAAAACATGTGTGATTAGTTATTTAATTTAGTCGATTGCCAGCACTAGTGTGCATGTAAAGATGTGTTACCTGTGTGAGCACGTCCAGCTGTCCTACGATGTGCTGGAGGGTGCTGGCGAGCGCAGCGGGAACACTGTCCGGCTGACCGCCTCCAGGGCTGACCAGAGCGGTGCTGCTGCTCTTCTGTGAGGACACACCGCCGGCTCCGGACTCCTGCGGGAGCGAAGGGAAATCGTGAGCGTCACTGAGGACTACCAACACCCGACTGAAAGGGTGTTATGCCAGGCAAACTCAAGATAGCGACAGATCTTTCCTTCTGTATTGTGACGTACATCTGAGCGTAACAGGTTATTGAAGTAGAGCCCTATGATTTCTGCGATGCGGAAAATGCGGATGGAATCAGTCATAAAAATGGAATTTACTGTACAATGCAGAATGTCACGCAATTTGTCAAAGTTTGGATGAATTAATCAAAAGTAGGTCATTACACTTAGATGAAATCACGATATGGACTAGTATCTGTAAATATTAAGCTGCAAAAAGACTATTTAAATACGAATCCTGTGTTCTGCGTGAATGAATGGCGCAGACGCGCGGTTTCGTTTACTACACACATACTGAAGAGCGGACGCTCGCGGTGATTTCAGCGTCTGCGGTCTCACTAAATGAGGAACAACACTCCATTACTGCTCTGAGAGTCACTTCATGATCACTTTACCCTTTCATTTGAGTAACACTAGATATTCACGGCAACCCGTCAAAATAAAAGTACGGTATAACTTGAAGACATAATTGTGCCAGAAATATATTAGGCTACTATTGTTCAGCAGAATGTATGTAATACTACTACTATTACTAAAATTATAAAACTGTATTTTTATAAGGAATAATCACACAATATTTCGTTCATGTTTTAAATTTAATAGTAAATCCCATTTGTTTGCCAAGAAATAAAGTTTAAATTTCATTTGATTAAAGGATAAATTAAATTAATATTTTATGTCTTCCTGTGATGACTGGTTAAATTTATTCAATATTATTGGATATTAAAAAAAATATTTTAATAAACTAAGTTATTTTCTGCATTAAAATTAAACATGCTTGAACAGAATTTAGTAACAATAAAACAGAAGGTGAGGAAAAAAAATAAAACATTACAGAGGGCTGTAAACAACTTTTTGTTAAACTTCAAGATTCATGACTTTAATTTAATTAGACATGATTTTTAATTCATAACATTAAATCTAACAATTAAAAAAGAGTTTAAAAAAAACGAATCTAGAAAAATTAAAACGGAAAAAAAATGGAATTTGGAAAAAGATTTGGCTGTTTGATGCTTCAGTTGTTGATTGGATGACTGTATGTGGGCGTGGCTCAAACGTGTATGCAGATGAGCGTCAGCTCTGCAGGGGCGGAGTTTAAGAGCAGTAAATGATTGAAGAAATCCTGCATACGTCACAGAGAGAAGACTGACCATTCAACTCAAAGATCCAGTTTTGACATTATAGACATTTTTTTAGAAAACAGACGGGTAGCCGTATTTCATTTCATGCCGACTTCAAGGTTTAGTTTACTTAGTGGCCATCTTGACGATGCATATTTAGACATATATACGGATAGCTCCAACCAGAGGAGAAGAGAATCTCCTTATCTGTTTGTCAAGGATAAGCTTATTAAAAAAATGACTTAAAGGGGTCATCGTATGCAAAATGCACTTTTACAAGTTGTTTGAACATAAATGTGTGTTTGCAGTGTGTGTACACAACCACCCTATAATGATAAAGATCCACCTAGTGTTTTTTTTTAAATCTCTATAAAAAATATCCTTCTTCAAATCAAGCCGTTCTCAGATTCTTGGCTGTGTGACGTCACACAGACCCAGGCCCCTCCCACGATTGTTGATTGACGCTGGCGTTTAATCACAGCTCCGCTCTGAGGGACTGTCATCAGTCCGCCATTGTTTCACCGCCGGAGCAGATGTAGACAAGAATAACTCCTGAACGATTGAGGTGTTCTGTTGTTGGATGTAATAATGAACATAGCGGTCGTCATTTACTCCCGACATTTGAGCCGCTGAAGACGCCGTGGATTGCGTTTGTTTCTGAAGGGAATGCGCCCCCGATCTACATAAATGCGCTTATATTCGTGCGAATCATTCGTGATCCAGCTTCACCTACAGAAGAAGTGAGTATAAGGGTTTTTAATGAATCTTTGCAAATCGCCTTTCCTAATAATGTGCTAATTAGCAAGTTCCGCAGCTAAAGTAAACAGTCTCTCAGAGAACGACCATCACCCCACGGAAGAGAGGGGCGGGGGCAGCAGAGCTCATTAGCATTTAAAGGGACATGCACCGAAATGGCTCGATGTGAACAGAGCTGTTTTTGACCTGGTAAAAAGGGTGTTTTTTTACACTACTATTGAGAAATTTTAACAAAAGTATATGTTATAGACTTTTCATTAAGACCCTAAAGAATCATATCAACTTCGATGACCCCTATAAAACATTTTCATTCCATTTAGTGTGCCTGTGCGATTTATAGTAAACTAATGTGATAAAAAATGACTGGCTCTTTAATCTCAGCGGTGTGATTATTTTAGTGTTTGATTGACACGTGAGTAGGCGGTCCTTCACTGATCAGGATGCATTCATGTTCAAGTTAAAGTTGAAGTGTTCACATGTGTTTCTGATGATAGTTTGAGGAATCATGCAAGCATGTTGCAATAGTTTAATTAAAGTGCTGAGGGGAATGCAAAGGTCAGCTGTTGTCTGGTTACAGTATTATGGACACAAACGAGACTAACAGCATACGGGATGGATCGCCACTGGAAGACAAAAGGACGCAGAAAAGCCATCAACATTACAACAGCTCCATCAATAAAACATATTACACCAATATTAAACCCAAGACGACAATGATTCAAGACACTAATATGTGCTTTTACCACCTCAAATGGTATGTGTCAAGTGTACGTTTCGCTCACAGACGTCGCTTGACGTTTGTGTTTGGGGAACAAACCAAGCCAGTCGATTTTGTCGGTCAAAATATTAGACATTTCTAGAGTAAACTTACAAATACACACTCCGTGTTTGTACTATGATTACAGCAAGTGTGTGAGGTCGCCACACATTGCAAGTGAATTACTTGTAAAGGTTGCGTTAGTCTATTTTTGCAGCGCTAGCAATAAACGTTGAAAATAAGGCACCATAAACTTCTGAGTTGAAAATATTATTGATTAACAGATTTTTAGTAAAATCTTTCAACAAGCTACGCTCATGATTACACTCATGTTATTCCCTTGTATATAAGCCTCGGTAAGTCTGATGGGTGGAGATTAAACCTCTGCATCGTCACAATGAACCTGAAAGCACAGCCTCAGAGACTTGTTTCCAAGCGTTTAACTGTATGTAGTTGTTGCTCAGTGTAATTATTGTTGAGGGTGCTGCTCATTATTGAAAGTGAAGGAGCAGTAAGTGTAAAAGCATCTTAAATCAGGAGAACAGATGGTGTGAAACGAGCTCATAACTGACACTGATGGGAGAGAACAAGACTGAGCGAGAGTGAGTCCGGCCTGCTTTATTCACAGACCCACAATCAACTGTCCAAAGCACAAAGTTCAGACATCTGAAGCTTCAGGCAGATTCATCTGTTCAACCTCAACCTATGAAACGTAATTTTATTGGTTTTAGACTCAATATCTCACCGCATAAACACACTGTTATCTGAGACTATGTCCCTACTGCAAGTGGAGCTCTATGTAATGTAGTCCGGCTCATATTTTAAGATTGGACGGGATCCTCTGGGGAAGCAGCTTTATGCAGAAATCACTGAACAGAAGTAAAGAGAAACCAAATCTGCTATATTGAGTGTCACTCAACTTATCCGTGTTGATGAGCTTCCACCGTGTGATGAAAACTATAATTTGTTTGGTCACCCATCAGCCTCCTGTGTTGCTGTAAGTAGGGCTCTATGAAAACGAGGACATAATCGTGGAATCCAGTCATAATAAAAACAGAATTTACTGTATAACGTGGAATGTCATGGAATTTAACAAATTTTGGATGAAGAAATCAAAAGTAGGTCAGTACAGTAAAATAAAAACGTGATATGGACTAGTGTCTGTCAATATTAAGCAGCAAAAATACCATTTAAATATGAATCCTGCATGTTCTGCGTGTCTCCGTGTGAATTGGCTTCCTTTACTACACACACATACTGAAACACAGTGATCTCAGCCTATGAACACATGAACATAATCTCTAGAACTGCTCTGAGGGTCACTTCATGAGCATGTTACCGTTTATTTTGAGTAAAACTATCATCATATCATATACAAACAGAAAAATAAAAACTCAATATCTCACCGCATAAACACACTGTTATCTGAGACTATGTCCCCACTGCAAGTGGAGCTCTATGTAATGTAGTGTATGTATGTAATAAAAACAGAATTTACTGTATAACGTGGAATGTCATGGAATTTAACAAATTTTGGATGAAGAAATCAAAAGTAGGTCAGTACAGTAAAATAAAAACGTGATATGGACTAGTGTCTGTCAATATTAAGCAGCAAAAATACCATTTAAATATGAATCCTGCATGTTCTGCGTGTCTCCGTGTGAATTGGCTTCCTTTACTACACACACATACTGAAACACAGTGATCTCAGCCTATGAACACATGAACATAATCTCTAGAACTGCTCTGAGGGTCACTTCATGAGCATGTTACCGTTTATTTTGAGTAAAACTATCATCATATCATATACAAACAGAAAAATAAAAGGTCTTCACAGCAACCCATCAAAATAAAATGGACATATATTACTTAATTTAGTACAACCACTACTAATAATACAATTATTATTGAAACATTCTTTTTAGATGAACATTTACCAGAATTTATTTAGCAGAAAAATGTAATTACACGACACAGTATTTCTAGAAGAAAAAAAATGAAATAATAATAAATTGGTATTTTTTTCTAAAATCAATAAGTTGGTTCCCACTCTTTCATGAACACCAAATTCAAGGACTTTTGAAAGCACTATTTATTTAATTTCAAGCACCTATCAAATTCACACCCCAGCATATGTAGCATCACGAAAGACCTGTTACAGTACTTTTCACTTACACTTAACATTTACATTAAACATTTCAGAGTAATGAGGTTTTGAATGTGTAGGTTTCATAAATGTAGACCACTTTGAGCAGT